GTTATGTTATGTTATGTTATAATTATATATAATAAAGATAGATGATATACCTACGTTTATCGTCACGCCGTTTTTTTAAATAGACACGAAATGAATCAGAAGACATAAAGAAGGCCAAAAACGGAATAAACAAAATAGTTGTTTACTCATGTGAAAATACTGAGAAAAGCTCTACTTCTTTCGAGCCACAGAGGGGCTCTTCCTCATGAGCAGCGTGCGCAGCCTGCTGCGTGAAACTAGTAAAACTTTTCTCAGTACTTTCCAGTAACCTGCGATTTTTAGTTAAAGTCGTATGTCTCACGATAGTTATTATAAAAACACCATAGAACATACTTAGTTAATATCCACCGCGTGTTTATAGTACCTATTAATGTTTTGTCACAGTCTGAAATAGTTTTCTTAACACAAACCGCAACTATAATAACTTGAGGACTATTTAACAATCCACTCAGAGTTAAAGGGACAAATGAAAAAAAATCTTTATTCATAATAACACTGGCCAATATACATAGGTATAAAAATATCTTATTATTGCACGGTCGGCGTGGTGTTTGGGCAATTGACTGCCGCGCAATGTGTCACGGGTCGGGTTCGAACCCCACACGGAACAACGCTTTGTAAACTACAGATTGTTGTTCCGGGTCTGGGTGTCATGTGTATAATATACTCACACACGGCACAGATACAAGAAAATTCTAGTATGGAGCAACGTGTTTTTTAAACCTTAATTAAGCGACCTGGGTGCTTACTGTTGAAACCAATCTCAATGTCAATGCAATTTCAATCCAATTAAATAATTATCCACTATCAAAACTATACAACCCCTATTGGAGCTGTTAAAGTAGCATTCAGAGTACGGAATATAAAGCCAAATTCAATACTATTTAGTTCATAAAATATATACGAAATACGGATGTAATGGGCGCTAGTGTTGCAACTCAACAGTGCGAAATTTCACAATGTCAATGTCGATCGATCGGAATTGGATTCAAGAGTAAACACCCAGATCTTACAAATGAATATGCCTGTACTAAGAATATTCCTGTGTCACAGTTCAGTGAAGAACGCAATGAAACTCAAAATAACTGATTGTTTACTAGGAAATCTTTGAACACATTTTTACATAACATGTTTACTTAAGAGTTATTTGATTAAATATTAACTCTATTAAGATAATAAATGAACTGTATAAGACATTGTATTATGACGCAATAAATAGTTATATATGAATAGCTATTTAGCTAATAATATTTGCTGTAATTGTGTCAACAAATATTGCAATGTCCTCAATCTTAGAGACTCACCTTTATTGCACCTGTTTTGGTGCAAAAGCAAAAGTAAAAGTGTATTACTTAGAGCCTTTTATATATTAATTCTTAAGAAACGTCACGCTTTTTGACACCCGAATTGAAGATCAAAAGTAAGCATATTATCATGGACTCTTTCCCTTTCTTTATCTTTTTTTAAACGTTGCCCCTCACTAGAATTTTCTCCTTGTCGTGAGTGCGTTTACAAATATACAAGTTTAGACACATGACACCCAGATCCGGAACAACAGTCTGTGGATCACACAAAGAGTTGTTCCGTTGTTGTCAGTTGCCCAACCACCGCACCAACTGTGCAGTCAGGACTGACTTTGTGCTATTGCCCGAATATCGAGAATGTTAATCTCTTATTTCTTAGTTAGTCTTCAAACAACTTAAAGGGGTTAAAGACCCCTTGCTCGACAGTTATGATTGCGGCCACTCAAACAACAAAGCAGTCTAATGAAGATCACCCAAAAATCTTTTTAACGGTAAATGATAACATACTATTACACAAAGCAGGTAAGCTCGAATTCCTTCAATAGGGTAGATGCCTAATTTTTTATTTAATGTCCGTCTGGTAGATTATTTTAAATCATTAGACTAGTATTTTGTATTTTCTCACAGAAACGAATACTGTCGAAGATATATTGATTTGAAATGTCACGTGACGTCACTTCTATGTACATTTTATACGTAGAAATGACGTTATAGCCCCCACTCCTAAACTTTGATTCGTTTTATCTAAGTATTGTTTTATTATGACTGCACGGTTGGTGGCAACCGGCTACCGTGCAACGTGTCGCGGCTTCAACAAAAAAGGGCCGAGAATTGGCCCCTGTGGAACTCCCATCCTGACAATAGACCCGGCGGGGACTTTTCCCGACTCTCTGAGTTCTGTTACGCAAGTATGAGGTAAGAAGATCCAGAGTTTAACTCTTATTCTAAAGTAGGATAGCTTCCTGATCAATGTATTATGAAGGACACAATCGAACGCCTTGGATAAGTCACAAAAAATGCCCAATCACTTTTCTGAAAACCACATCAAAATTAGTTCGCGCACAAACCGACCGACATACCGACATACGTAACTGCATAAATACTACACACATTGAAGTCAGTTAATGATACGATCACTATAAACAGGTAAACATTTGCTGAACTAGTTATTCCAACTCCCGGTAATCCCGGAATACAATTCAATAGACTGACTCAATACAAATTACAATGTTTAGGTAGTAAGGAGTTCATTTACTTATAAGACATCGGCCATTGACATCTTCCAGAAGTCTGTTTACTTATCATATGCTCCGTGGTGACCCTCGCGATAGTAAAATTGGCAAAAACTATGTAAAGGCGAGAACATAATACTTTATCTATACTATTATATAAAGTTGAACAGTTTGTTTGTTTGTTAGTTTGTTTAAACGAGTTAATCTCAGGAACTATTGGTTAGATTTGAAAAGATATAATAATTATGTGTTGGATAGTCTATTTATCGACCAAGGTTTATAGAAATATAATTCCAGCATACAAAAATACCAGCACACAAAAATCTCCTCTCGTGTTATACATAATATATGTCATTCAAATAATTCACTTAATAATTGATTTTATGACCAACTTAAATTTATTATTATTCCAGCAAATTTTTAAGAAATAAGTATGCTATTTGACGGTAAATAAACGTGACATCACAATACACAATCTCGTACAAAATTCATAATAAACTGTCGTTTTTGACAGTTCCAAAACAAGTATTGAATTTGACTAGTTGGCAACTACCCAATTTATTTTTATAAAAATAGACGATATTTTCTACTGCGCGAAATAATCAACAAATTAGAGCGTTGATGTGGAACCAGCTTTACGATGTTAGTTTTAAAGTCCAATAACTTTCCAGTATAACTACTGTGACTATACCACGTCGACCATATTTATACCTAGGACTCTGCACGAGTCAGTATTTGCTGCAGTTGGAACATATAACGATATTAATTGATTATACAAGAACACACCCTTAGCAGTTGACGTATTAACTTAATTTTATCATTGCTTATATCTATTAAAACATTGTTTTATAACAAACTATATTATTTACGTTTTATCGTTTATTCAGTATACAGTGACTTCAAGAAATTAATTGATAGATACGCAGTGTTGTCCAAAATGAGTGAACAAAATGGTGGTTCGAATTTTCCTTACGAAAAAGAAGAATTAAAGCCTGAAGTGAGGGCGGAACTTGCTAAATATTATGCATGTAAGTAGCTATTTTGTAATATTCTTCCATAATATTGTAACAACAGGTTCTAGTTTTAGGAAAAAAATAGATGCTTCTGGTCATTGACCGAGAAATATTATCAGCTCCGATTATGTTTTGTTTTTTTTTGTGACGAAAATTATTAGCCTAGAATTTGAATTTATCCTTATCGCACTATGGTTATCCGAAACATCTATCTGGTACCTACGCAATTGGGTACTTTCCTTAATTAAAAATAAATTATTTCAAATAATTAGAATTAGAATGCTGTTTGACGCTAAAAAAACGTGAAGTCACAATACAAAAAAATCGTACAAAATTCATACAAAAATTGTCGTTTTTGACAGTTCGAAAAAAGTATTGAATTTGACTTGACTTTCCAAATTAATAAATTCTGCCAGCAACGGCTTCACCTGCGTTCCAGCGATAAGAAAATACATACATACATTACTTCATACCTGTCTCCCACGGGGGTAGGCAGAGAACGCCAATTGCTACGATTCTTGATTACATCTTTTGCTTCATCAACAGTCGTCAATCTTTTCATACATGGTCGTCGTTTAAAGTTACTTTTGGTTTGGCTCGTCGTTAATATATCGCCAATCTGGTTAGTATGGATAAAAATTTCCCCATTGTTATTCTCACAAACTTTCACATTTGGAAGAGGATGTGTATGTGTGTGTGTAGAAGATGATGATAAGTACATTCATACCGTTGAATTAAACAAGGCAAGGAGTTTATTAGTTTTGGATGTAACGCCAACATTGACGTAGACGGGACGGTGGGTATGGAACCAAAAGTGAATGGTCAGAGACCCACATGCCATCGCCGCTCGAACGATTTAAAAATGACTACTCGGCTAGTAACTCATGAATAAAATACTTTATTGGCAGAAAAACAGCAAAGTTGAATAAATAGAGCGGTAAAATACGTAGGTAGGAAGCCCCGGCGGGAAACGGATCGAAAATCGCCGACAGGTGATGGCAAAACCAAGTATTGTATTCATAAAATTAAGGAAATAATTGTTTCTTTTGTGTAATAATAGTTATAATCACCTGCTCAAGGTGTAAGTAAATCTACAGAGATAAGTTATTGAAACCAGTCATAAAAAATAATGTAGTTTGTTATGAATTACA